ATTTTATCAGGAAATGTCACCAAATGTGTTTTATATTGCACAGAATCCATAGCTTCTGAGGATGGAGGGGGCTTCGCCGGATGCTGCGGCAGACACGTTTCAATCATCCTCATACACGCGCACGCGTTCACACACAGGACCGTGCAAAGCTGGTATAGGCCCAGGCTAGATAGGAAATGTAGGCCCCATTCCAAACTGCTCATTATGCTTCATTGTAATCATGTAATTATAATGTAATGTAATGTATTATATTGTAATGTATGTTATTGTAATTATGTATTTATTGTAATCAGTGCGTCATATGATTTATGTATGGGTATATACATGTGTATTAATCGTTTACGAATCTTCTTTAAAATATTAATAATTTGTGCTAAAGGATCCCCTTCGACTCTCTTTACAATATTAACATTCTTTACCAAAGAGTCCCTTTGCCTCTACCAGGGGGAGTAGGCCCCCTCAAAATCGTAGACCCATGCCAACAGCCCCCTTCTGTTCTAGCCTGTTCACGCACGCACGCACGCACGCACGCACACACACACACTGCATGGTCATTTACTATGTGGATCACACATATTGAATGATAAAGCTAATGTTCCGGATATATATCACAGTGCGAGCTAGCCTTGTTTAGCCTCGTTGATGCTGGCAGAGAAAAACAACGCTCTGTAGTGTCGGTTAGTTGATTTCATGAAAAAAGCAAATGCAAAGGTTGAGCAATGCAAACATCTATGGAACCAGCCAAATCAGGGGAGTATAGGCTTGAGTTATTCCTGGCAGAGCTGAAGGTTGAACGCACACACCCCACCCCACCTCCCCTCACCTACACTCACATCACCTCACACGCACACACCCGTACACTCACCTCATCTCGAGTTCGTGGCTTGTTGAATACGGTATTGACTGCTTTAGTCACAGCTTGCCATGTCTTTTTATTAACTACAGCTGCCAAGTTGCCAGCAAAACTTCTAAACGCAGTCCTCTTTCTCTGTCCCACCTCATAAGTTATGAAGTCTATTTCTTCTGCGGAAATATAATATTCCTATTCTTCCCTCTTTTTCTGAGATGCCATGTATATTTTAGATAGCTCTCACCACACTCATTGAGAATGGTGCTATAGGTGATGGGTGCATGGCTATGAGAAGAAAGTGTTTACTATTTATATATTAATGCCTGTTGTTGGGGGCACTATGCTATCATAGTGTTGCTGAGTGAAGGTATAGTGCCCGAGCGGTAGAGAGGGCAGTATTCCTTCCCAAAGCAACACTATGACAGCATAGTGCCCCCAACAACAGGCATTAATGTTTTTAGTGCATCACATGACTTTGCAATCAACTCGGCAAATATGAAGTGAATAAGACAAAGTTTCTTAAACGAACAATTTCAATTTGTATTAAAACACAATGCGTTATAACAACAATGCGTCGCGCAAGCAATAGTGCCCGCCTGTATTGTTTCATAGTACCTGCGACGTTATCCAATGGAATTTCAACGATTTATCATGTGATGCACTAATGAAGGACAATCCCTACAACTTGTTATGAATGAACTATAATAAGAACAACAACAGAATGCAGACAACTTGTAATGCATCAACAATACGGTTCCCGTTTTATTGAAATTGTCTACACAAGTAGCTATACAGCACACGCTCGGATTTCTGTCAAATGATGTGATATTCCTGCATTCACCAATGAACGTTACTGCGAATTATGCATGAAGGCACACCTTACTGCATATGCGCGCGCACACACACACACACACACACACGTTAGAGAAAACCCCAAACTTTTCCTTATCAAGCCAAATCCCCCAATAAAACAATTGCGCGTGTGGCATCATACCTATGTATGTAGACGAGTATGAGTGTACGCACGCCATACGCTTCACCAAACATTCCAGCAACACCTCGTCTGCAAGACTCCATTACGCCCCGCACGCACGCACGCACGCACGCACGCACGCACGCACGCACGCACGCACGCACGCACGCACGCACGCACGCATTGTCGACGCATCCGTTCCTCGTATATATATTAATAAACATCACGAAAAGGACATGCTAGTCAAACTTCTCCCACGCCGGTTTCACCGGGTCCTGGGGCTTAGGCTGACCCCGCACGACGGTTGGGGTCGTGGCGTCGGCAACGGCGACCGCGGAAGGTCGCGATCCAGCAAAGGCGTTGTGCGAGCTCACCGGCTGCGTCTGCAGAATCTTAAAGAGGCCACTCGTGCGAGCCTGCTGCCCCGACACGGACGAGTGGAAGGAGGCCGCACGATGCGGCGATCCGCCAGGGGGCGCCTGCTGCCCCAACACAGGCGAATGGAACAATGCGTTGGTGTGAAGTGCACCACCAGGGGGCGCCTGTTGCCCGGACACGGGCGAGCGGAACGGTGCCGGCGACGCCGCACCGCCGCTAGGCGGCGCCGAGAACGCCGCCGGAGAGACTGCGTCCCGCGCGTCTGTCGAGGCGTTTGCGGCGCCCCCTAGTGGGTCGAACATGTCCATGCACGTCTCGGTCGCGCCGAGGTCGATGAGAGAGCTGTCAGCAGCGACGACCCGCGGCGACGCCGGCGGCGGCAAACCAGCGCCCTCTATACTCTGCCGCTGCGGAGATGCCCTTACCTGCGGCGTCGCCGCATCGTAGTTCTGCTCGGCGGCGGGCCGCGACGCGCCACCTGGTGGCCAGACGAGCGTCCCCGCAGTGTACGACGACGCAAACGGATACGTAGCCGGCAACGCCGCCGCCGCCGCCGCGGCGAGTGGCGCCCTCTCGCCTCCGAGCAGCGGGTCAAAGGCGGCGACGGCCGTCGCCTCCTCCAGCGAGTCGAGGCGGATGAGGGGAACGTCGGAGTGAGACTTGCGCAGCGGTGGCGCCCCCGCGGCCGGCTCCGTCCACGACACGCTCAGCTCCCGCTCCTCGCGCCGCGTCAGCTGCATGATCGGACTTCGCTTGGAGCGAGCGTGCGTCGCCGCGCCAGACGCGTCGTCCGTCTGCGTCTGAAACAATGTGACGATAGTTAGTGATGTCTTGCACGCTCTCGTGTTATTGTTCGTTATACACGTTATTATATTATTGATAATTATATATAATTATATATTAATTATAAATTATATATAATTTTAATATGAATTATTATATTAATTATAAATTATATATAATTTTAATATGAATTATTATATTAATTATAAATTATATATAATTTTAATATGAATTATTATATTAATTATAAATTATATATAATTTTAATATGAATTATTATATTAATTATAAATTATATATAATTTTAATTATATTATTGTTCGTTGTGTGTTTGGTTTGCCAGGCTCCGCACAGCAGGTATCAATGTTCTTCTTCGCGGATTGCGTGAGAGATGTGAGTGTATTAGAAAGTAGACGATCAGTATCGCACAGTAGCAGGGGTAGAAATGAACTTTTGAACAAGGGAGTCCAACGGACTCCCTGCCCTCAAAAAGAGGGAGTCGCCGCAAAATGAGGGAGTCTGCAATCTGAAGTTCAAAACTAAAGATATTTACAATAACACGTGCTTATTTTGAAGATTCATGCAGTTGCACATCTGCCAAATTTTCTTTGGACATTTGCTGAAAAAATATGGCAATTCCGCGAGGCCGTGCTTTGCAACGAACTAGTTAGTATAGCAGAATTTTCAGGGAGTCACACGAACTCCTGCATATGTGAAATCTAGGATTCTGACAGTAAATTAGGGAGTATTTGACTCCGGACTCGCGTTAATTTCGCAACCTGCAGTAGATACGAACACGTAGGCGTGGTAAACGGTCTATAGGTTTATTCTAGTAGGTATGAACATCACTACACAGACTAGCTAGATTCACCGTAAATTCACCGCGAGCGAAGTGATGTCGAGGACCTGACAAGATTGGTGACACATGACGTCTGTTAACTGAAGCATGCGTTCATAAAAATTTATTGTTTATGTTTTCTATACGTTTTTCCTATATATTTTTTTACATGTTATATATTATATAACGTTTATGCTTTTAATGTTTTTAATGTTATGTTCTTTTTGTCGCAGAAAATTTGGGTTAGCAATATTGGTAAATACATGTTCAAACTCAATGGCAGACCAAATTTTTTATCGAAATAGATTAAACACGCTAGACGTACACACCCTATAAAACCTGCATTAAAAACCATGCATTTGGAATTATTGTGGGTGCAAATATTTTGTCCTTACACGAGCAATGTGCAGAACAGAATAGAACAGATTGGAACTGCGATATACATCCAAAGGCTTCTTAGTAACAGGGAAAGTAAACAGTAGCTAATAACGGCGAGGCAACACATGGAGAGATGACCTTAT